ACTTAGGGTGCAGAGCAGGCTTTCTCTGATTAACAAACAAACAAAACACATACACACAAGACTATGCAACAGAAAACACTACCATTAATAAATCTAAGAAATGTATTGCTAACTGGTGGAGCAAGTAAGTCCATTTCATCTAGGAATAGTCAAGAGCCATCCATCTAATGAGGCCCACCAAATCTTAAATTGTCGATCCAACACTATCTGTACTATGCCTAGTCTGTCCCTGTTCAAAGTGGGAGTTAGTGCAAGGTACTCTCCAGGACAGTTTACATTTTCCTTAAGAGAAGCAGGTTCCCCTTCATTCAGTAGTGAAAGTCTCACTTATGCTCTTTTTTGGAAGGTAGAAAACCTCTCACTCTCCAAAACTTAGTATTTCTAGATATAGAAATTAATGTGCCTTCATTAGAAGTCTTTTTAGACCAAGCCATTACATGTACAGCCTCAGACCACAGCCTCAAAGAATCTCTGTGTTTGCTACGGACCCAATGTTAGCCAACCGTTTCTAAAGTGATTCTGTACTAACCCCTAGAGCAATGAAATTCTAATATTTCATTCCTTGCACAATTTCACCTAGTCCCAACTGTCTCTTTAATACCTTCTAACTTAATACCATGCTTGAGCCATGCCCCATTTCAACCCTGTAAGCCCAACATATTTCTGTTTCATATACAAAAGAACAAATAAAGAAAGAAGCTCAAGTGGTAAACATTTGCAAACAGTAAATGCTTACACTTATCTAATACTTACAAGCTATCTCTCTGCCCCAGAAGATAAGTAAAGTATAAACAGGACATTCTTCTTTTTTGTCCTTGTTAATTTTAACTTACTACACTAACTTAAAACTATTATTACAAGATCAATAAAATATGTAGAAGCTCACATACTACCTTGCTACTCAATCTTGTCTTTAAAAATGTCACTTTACTAATTCGTAGTTTTCGACTATGAATTCATTGATATGATTATGCATTTGCTTTAATATTGTGCAATCCCAAAACATCTTAACACCTAGTATGAAACACCTTCTTCAGGAGTCTTCTCTTTCAATATTATCTTCACTATTGTCACAAAATTATTCTTCCAAATTGACTTTAAATTGTTTTTGTCAACTTCCAGAATGAAAGAAACATATAAATATCTGGAATTTGATAGAAATTGCATTAAATTTAAGAATTTACCTGAAGAAGACAGATATATTTCCAATATTTAGTCATCTCATAAAAGAACACTGCCTTTACCAAAATTACATATTCTGTCAGTAAACTTCTGTTGTGTTCTTTAACAAGTCCTACATATTTCCTATTAAGTGGATGCTGAGATACCTTGAATTTTGAACAAATAAAACAGGTTTTATCCCTCACATTTCTCAAAATGGTTATAACTGGTTTATTGGGAATCTGTTTATTTTATATATTTATAACTATATTTCTAATACTATTTAATTGATTCCCTTGCTGTTCAAAACTAGACAATCATATCATTTGAGCTGCTCCCCTTTTCAAATATTTATTCCTAAATCTTTTCCTTATTCAGTGCAAGAACTGAAACTTCCAAAACAAGATAAAGTAATAGGAATGACAAATCTTATCCCCATCTGTCTCCACTGTGCTCCACGCTTAGTGGGGATTGACTTATATGGACTGTAGCCAATTAAACACAGCCAATAAGAGGCACTGGCAGAGGCAAGAAGTCAGTAGGAGAATAAGGCCGATTAACTCCTCTGGATCCCTCTCCATCAGGTCACCCTATGTTGGCAGTTTCCCTCTATTTCAACTCCTACAGGGTCAGTCTCTCCTATAGCTACCATTTCTCTCTCCAAGGGCCAATTACATTCCCTCTCTTTATGTCTTCTATATCCCTACAAGGTTATATTTTTAAGTTAGCCAAAAAAAACTTCTTTGCAGCTCTTCTCTAGGGAAAATGGTAGATCACCTGATATTTGATATCATCTTATATTCATGTTTGTTTGAATATGCAGTAAATTTTAAATGTAATACTCACAATACCATTACCTTCCAAATACTTTATAATAACTTTGGACTTCAGGTATCTTCTTTGACACAAGGTTTACTTACGAGAGCGTTTTAAAATTATCAACTCATTTAGAGAGTTTTGTTATTAATATCTAGTTTTATCAATCTCTGGTCAAAGAATGAGACCTGCCCTGTTTCTGCTTTTTGGAAATTATGTCTGTTTTTGGGACAATATATGGTCAACGGGACACCTGAAATGAAGGTTTATGTTCTGTTTCTGCATAGTTACAGTTTTATCTATTAAATCAACCATACTAATATTTATTAAATCTCTATAATCTTGAGGACTTATCAGAACTTTAACACCATAATTTGCAGCCCAATATTTGGATTTTTGCAGCTTGAGCTCTGAAGCTGCTTTCAAAGCATAACTCTGAAACCACCCACAGAGCAAGCAGCACTCCTTGTGTTGATTGTATTGTTTGCTAAACCATACTCCTTGCATCACTGCTAAATAATACTCCCTGTACTGTAATTGTGTGATCAGAAAACAGCCCTGGCGAGTTTTGCTCAGTGGTTAGAGGGTCGGCCAGCGGACTAAAGGGTTGGGGGTTCAATTCCAGCCAAGGGCACTTACCTCTGTTGCAGGCTCTATCCCCCGTTCAGGAGGCAACCAACTGATGTGTCTTTCTCATGTCAATGTTTCTTTTTCTTTGTCTCTCCCCCTCCCTTCCATTTTCTCTTAAAAAAATCAATGGAAAAAATATCCTCAGGTGAGGATTAACAAAAAAAAAAAAAAGAAAGACAGAAAACAGCCTTTTTGGACTATAGGCCTGGGTAGAAACTAGGATGTTCATAAATGCTTAATCATATATTACCTATTGTTCTCATCTCAAACCCCACTTACTTGACCACTGAGTCAGCTAACCATTGAAAGTACAGTTGCCCTGACCAATCAGAAAACAAACAATGCAAGTCTACAGTCTTGTTCCCCTGGCAACCCATCTTTGATCGCCAGCTCCTTACAATTTTTGCCTTTATAAGCCTTGCCTTATCCCACCCATTTTGGAAAATATTTTTGGTTCATACTGAGGGCTAGCTACGTTTCCTGGTCTGCAAATCATTATCCAAATAAACTTTTAATTTTTCAAAAAAAGCTTCCTCCAGACTTTTGCTTACATATTATATGTGTTTCGTTTATGTAATCTGTCAATGATTAAGAAAGAGATTTTAAAATTTTCTCTAAATATGGGACCATTTTCCCTTAAGGTGCTTTTCATATTATATATTTTAATAATATAAAATAAACAACTATGACAAATGTTTGTTAATGATTACATATCTCACAAATAAAAAGTAATCATTTTTGCCTTATTTTGAGTCTCTTTGCTGCAGGTATGTTTCCTGTATATAATTACAGTGGTTTGTGGCCTATTATTGATGTATTTATTATGTTAAGCCTTTGTCTTCCCCCATTAAAATGTAAACTGTATAAAGGACAAGTCTTTATCTAATTCACTGAGATATTCCGAGTGCCTAAAACAAAGGCTGGCACATAGTGCTCAACAAATATTTGATGAGTGAATGAAGTATAGGTCCACTCTTCACTGCTTCATACCATTTTAAATTCCACTATAGCACTGTATCATGACATTCCTTCCTCTGAACACTCCTTTCATTACTCTGTTTTATCTTGTTGTTAATTATTTATTTCTTATTCCCTGAATCTATGTCTTCCTCAACTTCACTGCCAGATAAAGCAAACACTAAATTTACTTCTCTTTCCTACAGAAAATCTTTTACAAGCATGACTTTCCTTGTGAATATAACTACATTTCTTTTAGTATAGTTTTTTCATAAGTGCTATTCTAATTCTTCCATACCTATTTTTCAGCCTAGTATTTGCTCAAAAACAGATAAATTCTGCAGTAAATCCTGCCTTTATACCAGGATGCAATTATAATGATATTCTCACATCTAAAGATAAAGCGCTGGCTAACAGTTTTTATACTTTCGGTGCCCCAGGTGCTGAGGAAACTAGGAAAAGGAGTAAATCCTTGGAGCCGTGGGTATTCCCCACATGACATCTTCATCTGTGTTTCTTAACAGTGAACATCTTTCATATCTAATTTTTCCTCTGGCTCAGCTTCTATTCCACATACGCACTGTGGTTACGTCCAGCTCTCTGCTTAGCACAACTGCCTACTAAATTAGGATGGAACCTTGTACCTCATGACAACCCTGCATCAAAAGGAAGCCCAAGAATTCAATGGTTCCTTTTCACTCTTAGAGCCTCAACTGCAATTATTTTTGAACCATGGCAAAGGAAGGGGTTCACAGGCACGGGACTCAGACTTCCTGATTTCAAATCCCAGCTTCACCACTTCCTTAGATGTATGACCTGTTTCCTCATCAGCAGAGATAACAAAGCACCTACATCTCATTAGGTTGTTGAGTATTAAGTGATTAATACCTTTTAAGTGCTTAGAACAGTGCCTGATATACAAAGAGTTCAGTAACTGTTAACTCTTCTTTCTCCTTCTCTGTCTTGCCTCCCACCTTTATCTACAAAATTGGAGATGTTAGAAGGACTATGTCAGGATTTCTTCTACTTACAGTGACAATGCAGTGCTTTCTCCAGGGGTTTATGAGTAAATTCTTCATACAGTCCTTCAATCTCTATTCCAACCTGCACTGAATCTAGCAGAAACCCTTCCCTAATTTCTAATACAGGTGTAAATTTTTCCATGTTCTTTTATCTTTTGGTCTGTCAATTGGTTTAAAGAAGAGTGTAGCTACATACTTGTGCCTACATAAATGTTTCTTGCTGAAAGCTCTATGGAATTATTTATTCAATTAAAGAACAGACTTGTCACTGGTGAATCATGTAATTAATTTCAGGGGGGCCAGGAATATTTTTTCCTATTTTTTCAACATGGACGTGAGTATAACCCAGAGAGTTTAAGAAACGCTGACCTAAAAACCATATTAAAAATAATAAGAAAGAATTCAATTACTCACGACGCTCCTGAATTCATGATGCAGCTCTTTGCTCCACAAATACAATTTCTCCCATCATCATGATTCATTCCAAGGTTATGACCCAACTCATGAGCCACAATGGATGCAAATGTCTCCACCGTAATTTGCCCAAACTGTTCAAATACAAGAAGGTATTAATTAGGTTTCTGAGCAAAAAGAATACATTTTGTTTCTAAGGTTATTTTTTTCTCAAAAGGAAATTTATCACTACAATGTTGACGGCCTATATGATAAATCAAGCATCCAACATCAGTCCCTGTACATTTCAGTCTAATAAGAAACTCGTGTGACTCAACACTGATGATGAAGACAGACCTTTTAAGCAACAGATCAAATACTTCAGTACCAATAGATTATTCTGGTTCTATTTTAATTTTCTTAAATAGAGTATTTCCTCGTCCATAAAAAGTGAGGAGCTAACAAACACATAATAAATATTAAAATACTTAATCCAGTCTCTAGAGAAACAACCCATCTGCCATTTCTACATTGTCCCTCTTAATACCCAAAATATAGCTTTAAGGACTAGGGATGAAGTAGAAAGTCAATAAATGCTTGATACTCTGCTAATGAAGATGGCCAAAGGCGAACATCAAGAACAAAATATACCACATTAATCCCGCCTGCGTGGCTCCTTGAACACACTGTTCCCACAAATGCCATTCCCGCGGTCCCACCAAAACCTTTCTTCCTAAATGAAAAGAAAAGGTGAAAGTCATAAAAAGTGCTTGGGGGAAAAAGAAACACATTGCTCCTATATCTGTAGGTGATCTTAAACTGGACTGATAGAACCTACAAAAACTGGAAGAAATGGCAAAGTGAAATAGCATTTTAAAGTTAGAATACAATAAAGTCTTCTCTCTTTTATTATAAGAGAATGAGATTAATATTACAAATTCACTTTTAGAAAAATGAAGATACATTTTAGATACCAAACCAAATTTTTTCTACCTTCTAATAAAAAATATCCCTAAAAAGCATTATATTTATTTATTCAAAAATTCTAGTGAGAGGTAAGAAACTCAATGAACATGTGCACATGGAGACTGCAGGGCAGGGGATACAGGGAACAGAAAGGTCACAGTGGCCTCCATATGGTTCCTCACTTGTACCTTAGGACCTAGTCCCTCTGCCTGGAACTCTCTTCCCAAAATATACCCCTAACTCACTCCCTCACCTCCTTCAGGTCTTTACTCAAAAGTCTTCTTCTCAATGAGACCTTCTTTTGCCATGTTACCTAAAATTTCAACTTTACTTCTCCAATACTTTTTCTTCCCTACCACTTATCTTTATTTAACATATTATATATATATATACTTCTTTATCTCATTTATGGCCAATCACCTCCACCATAACATGGACTCCATGAAAAGCAAGAAGTTTTGTCTGTTACGTTCACTGCTATGCCCCAGTGCCTAGGTTATAGACCTAACAAATATCTTTCAAGTGAATGAATAAATCCTTCTCTGGGCCATCTAACCATCCAGGAGAAAAGGACTCGAGATGCTGGCATAAGGGGATTTCCAAGAAAACACTTCAGCCAGATCACCATACAGTGAACTCCAAAGTCCCCAAGCCCTGCTCATGTTATCAACGTTTCCAAAAGGCTTTTCAGTACCCCATTTTAAGCACAAACAAAAAAACAGAGATCACCAGACATTTGGGAAATGCCTCTAACACAACAGATGGAGACCAAAAAGAGGGGAAAGGACAGCTTGGTAGGTGTGCTTGGGCAAGGCATGGGGAGTATGCTTGATGCCTGTTCCTTTCGGCCTTGCGTGAGCCAGATGGCACACTCACTGGTATGAGGATACTTGCGGGTGCAATTTTACTAAAAATAACAGACAGGTCAGGACCAAGCCTTTGTGATTACAGGGCCATAAAAAACCACTGTGGCATTTTCACAATACCTTGCTTTAAATTAACTCACATAACAAAAGAAAATCAAGGGAAATTTCTCCTCTGAAAAGATTTGAGTTTTAAGTACCATCAACATTGAGAGAGGCAAACGTATTATATAAAGAACATTTTTTGCAAATAGCCAGCCTATGAAGCCAGAAAACTTTTAAGAAAGATAAAATGGTTTACATATTTTAAGTGAAGGTTTTACTGTAAGTTTTTGGAATGTACTTATATCAGGTGATTTATATAAGTTTAAGTTTTATTACGGTACCATGAAATTGCTATATAAATATATATAGCAATATAAAAGAAGAAAATTTTAAAAACATATATTGGTAATTTTTCAAAGAGAGTAGGAAAACTATTATATCCGTGAAATAAGAACTTGATTATATAAAAAATATTCAGGGGAGTAAAAATATCTATTAAACATTAAAAATAAGATAGCTAAAAATTAAAAATTCAATAAAAAGCTTACAAGATAAATTTAAGAAAATATCCTAAAAAGTAAAAAAAAACCAAAAAAACAAAGGGAAGAAAGGAGACAAAAGATAATAAAATTAGAGGATAAACACAAAATTCAATAGCCAAGTAAAAGGAATCCCAGAAGAAATGAAGAATAAAAATAAAGAGAATGAAATCATCTACAGAACAATTTGAGAAAAATACCTAAAACTACAGGACATCAGTTGCAAGGCTGAAATTACCCACCAAGTACACAGCACATCAGTGATAAAAGACCTACGCCAAAGCCTATCATCAAGAAAACTGAGACACCTGGGAGTCAAGAAAAGATCCTATAAGTTTCCAGAGAAAAAGAAGAAATTAAGAAAGACAACATACACACGATCAGGAATCAGAATGATTTAAAGCTTCTCAAGAGTAATGCTGGAAATGAAAAGAAAACAGATTCATACCTTCAAAATTCTGAAGGAAAAAGATTTCATGACTAGCCTGGCCGGCATGGCTCAGCAGTTGAACATCGACCTATATGATCCAGGAGATGGCGGTTCAGTTCCCGGTCAGGGCACATGCCTGGGTAGTAGGCTCGATCCCCAGTGGGGGGCATGCGGGAGGCAGCCGATCAATGACTCTCTCTCATCATTGATGTTTCTCTCTCTTTCTCCCTCTCCCTTCCTCTCTCTGAAGTCAATAAAATATATTTTTAAAAAAAGATTTAATGCCTAGAATTTTACATCCATCCAAATAATCAAAAAAGTTGCAAAACAAACTAGAAAACACACCTCTGAAAGACTGAGTTACTTAGGCCCTAGGATGAACAGAGGTCAAAATAAGATCATTTTTAAATCTGTTCTGAGACTTTGAAATACATTTTTTCACATGCAAGATGAAACTAGAAAAAATGCCATATAAAAACGAGAGAGCAAACTAAATCCAAGAAAGACGAAGGACATGGGATAAAGGTGACAAGAAATTCAACCCAGACGAGAGGTCTCATTATTATACTCTCACTTGTCCTACTGTATGAAACTAAGTTTTCTTTATTTAAATAAATTTTCAAAAACCTTAAGAAAAGGTTACCTTAATAAAAGAAAACAAACAAAAATTAATATTCTGACCATCTCATCAATAGTAGTTTTTAAAAAGTCACTGACAGAACCAGCCCTGGTTGGTGTGGCTCAGTTGGCTGGAGCATCGTCTTGTATACCAAAAGGTTGCAGGTTCGATTCCAGGTCAGGACATGCATGGAAGGCAACCAACCAATGTTCTCTCCTCACATACATCAATGTTTCTCTCTCTCTCTGTGTCTCTCCCTTCCCCTCTCTCTAAAAGCAATGAGCATTTCCTGGGGTGAGGATTTTTTTAAAAAATCACTTACAGAACTAGCTGTGCACTGTCATGTCTCCGACGTGTTATAAGAAACTTTTCCCGCCACTGTACAAAGTTCCCCAACACATCACCAGCACCTCCCATTATGCTGATCAGGTTTCCATTTGTCCAAATCTCCAGTCCAACTAGCACAACTCGAATATTTAACATAATATACATCTAGGAAGAAAACAAAAGTATAAAAATATATTAAAGAATATCTTTTAGCTTACAAAGTATCATAGCTACTTAAATTAAAAAAGGTACTCGTCACCCGGACCAGTCCAGTGTGGCTGTTGGTTGGAATGACATCCTGTACACCAGAAGGTAGTGGGTTCAATTTCAGGTCAGGGCACATACCCAGTTTGCTGGTTTGACCCTCGGTCAGTGTGCATATGGGAGGCAACTGATTGATGTTTCTCTCTCACATCAATGTTTCTCTCTCTCGCCTTTCCACACCCCCCTCTCAAGTCAATAAAAACATTCTCAGGTGAGGATTAAAATTTTAAAAAGTAAAAACAGGACTCCTCCCTGCCAAAAAAATGTATTTCCTTCAATAAAATGAGATTCCCTCTCAAGGGTCTCAGCTTCCTCATCCATAAAATAAAAGTAATATAAGCCAAAATCCTCTTTATTTTCCATTCCAAAATCTGACAAACTGGAAATTTAAAGTTTTTGGTAAATTAATTCCAAAACTTGCCCTAAACTAATGCAAGCCTGTTTATAGTCTGCATTTATCTCGATTAATGGAAAGAGTCATACATTTCACTACAGAAATACCAATGAATTTGATTACATTATGCTACCCCAAGACCCTGTGGGAAGTGTTATATAATACATAGTGAACCATATTACCTTTGTGGACCATGAGAAAGAAAATACCTACTAAGAAAGGCTCCTACTGGCTAACTGGGCTCAAATTTAAAAGCAAAGCCTAGAAGCTGTTCCTAAACAGGGGCCTCTCATTCAAACCTCATTTCATGGAGAAGCCCGCACTAAACTGCGTGCCTGCACTGTGCTCCTGCCATCTGAGCCAGCGCTTATAAAGGAGTTCCTGGAATTCCAACCTACAGGACTAAGGTTTTTCCCACCAGTCAGAACTATGCAGCTGTATGCCCATCAGCATCTTCACAGACCAATCAGAGGGCCAATCAAACAGCAAAAATTTCAAGTCCTCATTTACATAAGGATGGACCAATCAGGGACCAGGGACAGGAACTTGTGTTTATTAAGTTAGCTCCCCTCTTGCTCAGAGAGTACACTTTCCCTTTCTTTCTACAGAAGACTGAAGATCGTGTTTCCTCACTGGAGCTGAAACACCAAAGACATCACACCGAAGCAGAGCAGACCAGAGCAAAGTGGAGTGAGACAGAGCACAGCTGTCTGGCTGCAGAGGGGCCTCATCTCGTGGCCACCTCACAGCCATGCTGCTTCATAAGTTAGCTGTAACAGTACTTAGCTGTTCCAAAGCCATGCTGTTCTCACAGCTGTGCTATGGCAACTGAGCTGTTTGCATTGAATAAAGTTTCCTTCTTCACTGCACCTCAAAATTGGAGATTCCTGTCAGCGTTAAATTGGTGCCAACAACCATCAGTTGGCACCTTTCTAAACTCTCATATAAAATTTGAATTACACATACCCCAAAGATTTCAGATAAATGATTATAGAGCTCATATCTATTTCATAGAAATAGAGGAATAAATAAGTTCATAAATGTAAAACACTCAACTCAGCCTCAAGAGCATTATAAATGCTCAACAGAATGCTATCATCATCATCATCTTCATTATTATTAGGCTTGGTATTCATCAGGGAAACATCTTATAGATGAAATTCTCTTATGATAACATGTATCTAATTTTTCAATATCTCCCACCGGATGAATGAACTCCAAAAATCTCAAACCACATTCTCTCTCTCTCTCTCTCTCTCTCTCTCTCTCTCTCTCTCTCTCTCACACACACACACACACACACACACACACACACACCCCCAATACTGTCATATTATGTTTTCCTTAGCCTATCTACTCTAAAGATAAAAGTAGATGCTAATATGAAATCTCTTGTTTGTCCCAAAGTCTTTCCACAATTACACTTTTCTTTCAAACATAAAAATAGTTAAAAAACAGACCCCTGAAAGATTGAGTCATTTAGGCCCCAAGATAATCAGAGCTCAAAATGAGACAATAGTTAAATTCTGTTCTGGGACTGTGAAAGGATATGATAAATAATTCCAAATGATAGAAAATACAACTTACACTATCCAAGTAGTTTGCTAAACGAATCATCTCTTCTCTCACTGCAGTCTGATTTCTTCCCATCATGTCATACTGAAAAGCAAGAGAGGAAAATCACTATCACCAAAGTAATTTCAGGGGGAAAAAATTCTATAATCTTTCACAATGAAGATAAAAATCCAAATATTTCCTCTGAACCAAAAACTGAGGCAGTTAGACATTCGTCAGCATTTCAATTTTATAAATCTAAAAGATACATTTCAGTGATAAATGGAATAAGAGTGTGAAATGAAAAATAATGAAAAAACATTGAAGTCTTCATTTTCTCTAAATTAGTACAAAATTTAAAATGGATTTTTTTCTCAATATTTTTATTCATTTTAATGCAAAAATATTTTCAAGCACTTCACCAAAGGTGGAGTTTAAAAACAATCAAAATGAAGAAATGAAGAAATAAAAACAATCTAAAGGGTTTCCTGACTCCTTAGGCTAACGACATTACCAATAAACCATCTCTAAACTCTGGGCTAAATTAATGAGAGATTATAACCAATGTTCACTAGTTGAAACATTATATATAAATAAAACATAGAGATATTTAAAAGTTTAACCATATTAAGCCAAACAGTCAATATGACTGATTCTTTTCTTTGAGACCTAACTAAACCTAAATATCTATTTTAACATTATTTTCATACAACCAACTTAAAAATAACAAAAAAAATTTTTTTAAGAATGTATGTTTTTGCTCTATAAGGGCACTAATATCAGAATATATCAGATCTTATCAATTAGACATTTTATGATTCTCCTAAAAAAAAGAAAAATAAATTTGAATACATTTGACAAGGTTTGATTAAAATGGAATCATTTTTATTTTGAACCATTTTCTACCAATATGTAACAAATCTATTTTACATAACAAAGAAAAACATTTCAAATCTGTTTTTGTCACTTATCCAAACATTCCGCAGAAACATTTTACCCATTAGCTGGGGCAGCATTCATGCTTGTTTGTATTTCCTATTCTTTTTCCTTCTACCACTTAAGGGTCATTAACTTATAATGAGCAAATCTGAATATGTTTCTGTCTCTTACTAAATATGGCTTCTTTCCCAAACTACACACAATAATGGATTTTTTAACCATACAGTCTTGAAACTATCTCTGCAGCTTACAAGAAAGAAACCGTCAATCATGTAAAGTTTTTTTTTAAATTTATCTTTATTGTTGAAAGTATTACAGATGTCCTTTTTTCCCCCCATTGATCCCTTCCACCCTGCCTCCACCCCCCCAGGCCTTCACCTCACTATTGTCTGTGTCCATGGGTTATGCATATATGCATCTAACTTCTTTGATTAATCTCTCCCCATCCACTCCCCCACCTCTGCCTTTCTTCTGAGATTCGTCAGTCTGTTCCATGCTTCTATGTCTCTGGATCTATTTTGTGCATCAGTTTATTTTGTTCATTAGATTCCACATATGAGTCAGAGCATATATAACTGAATCAGAGAGAATAAGAAAACCTGAAGTGGCCAATAACAACTGATAAAATTGAAGCACTAATCAAAAAACTCCCAGAAAAACAAAAGCCCTGGTCCAGACAGCTTCACAGGTGAGCTTTCTAATTCTTTAAGTTGTAGGGTTAGAGAGTTTTTTAAAATTTTTTCTTGCTCTTTGAGGTAGGCCTGTAGTGCTATGAACTCTCAGGACTGTTTTCCCTATGTACCATTGAATTTGGGTGGTTGTGTGTTCATTTTCATTTGTTTCCAGGAAGTTTTTGATTTCTTTCTTGATCTCACTGGTAACCCATTCATTGTTTAATAACATGCTATTTAGCCTCCATGTGTTTGAATGTTTTTGAGTGTTTTTCTACAAACAACTTTTTCACACAAATAACAAAACTGGCAGCAAAAGTAAGATAAAACATTTCAAATAATCTGTTAAGTTATATGGCAGCTATATCTAAATCTGAAAATTTTACTAATGCTGGAATAGATCCATTACTTTTCTTAGTTAAGCGAGCGCAATTCTTCATATGGATAAGGAAAATCCCTGGGATTATCCTGAAAAATGAAATTAATAGAATACTGCTCAGATGAACCACTCTCCTCTATTCCCTTCTAACACATGCCAGGACCTGGAAGTTTCTATCTTTTAAAGTAAAATATAGGTTAGCTGAAATTCTAGACAGCAAAGCAATTTTATTAGGCCATAAAGCAATATCTGATTAACTGGTTACAGTCCCTTAAAGTCATCTGAAAAGGTCTCAAGACTCTGGCAGGCAGTACAAGTTTCACTTAAAAAACTTAACATGAACAAATCACCCAAGAAAACACAGGAAAAAATCATTAGTAAAAAATAAAGTCAGAGGTAGTCAGTCCTATTTGCTACATTCAGCTTCTGGTGGTATTATGAATAGTTAGTACACTTAAAGGAAAAAAGCCATTTTTGTTTTTAAATTACATTTCAGAGAAATCAATACAAATATATTATATTTCATATTTCTTTCATATGATGCTCACTTCTCATCTGCTTTTCCTGCAAAAGAAGAAAAACTGTCACCAATCCTACCCTTTCCTTGTCTACGACAATGAACAGCTCCACATAGCGGGTTTGTGGCAGCACAGCTCTTCTTCTCTGTCAAAAACACAAATGTAAAGGCAAAAAGATAAGTTATAAAGCTTTATGATCTTCACAGGTAATGATCCCACCCTACTTGCTAGTCACTTATTTCATGTCTGCTCAAAACATCATAAAATTATTTTACATAACACATCCTAGATTTTTTTAAAAAAGAATAACATGTTTTGAAATGATATCTGCTATCTTTACTGAGCTAAGAAAAATTCTACTTAAAGATAATATAAGTTATTCAAGTTTACAAAGCAGAATTATTGACTTTCTAATACCAACACAATACACACAGGCGTGCACGCGCACACACACACACTTCAACAAGAAACCCCATTACTATGTTGAGAGTAGAAGAAAGAATATCCACTAATAACCCAGAGCAGAAGTGAGCAACCTTTTCAAGGCTGCCACTTTAAAAAAAAGACTAGCTTTGTAAATTGGCATAAATGCATATAATAAGCTGAAATTTTAATGTTGTCCAATGATTAAAGTTAAAAAGAATGGTGTAGTAGTCAAGAGTAGATGGTAGGAGAGGCAATGAAAATAATGGCATAAAAACCGGGATACGAGTGTCCCTGGAGCTATCTGAAATAATTAAGGTTCTAAAGCCTAATCTCTCTCTCTCTCGGTTTCTCCAACCTAGAGCTCAAGAATCACGATTCCAGTTTGTGTAAAAGGTATCCAAATAAAAAATTCTACTGCTCTCTGAAAGAAAGCATAATGGGCTATTCTGTAGCAATGATAAAAAGATATAATTACTGTTTAAGATGTAAGCCCGTTTCTAAAACACAGTTCTACTGTATTCAGTTTGGTTGCAGAAACTGCATATTGCCATGTTGTTATCCCCTAGTACCTGTCATAATGACTGGCACATAGTTGGCAAAAACCTAGCAACAGTATTTGTTTAATGCATAAATACGTGATTTTTTAAAACTTTAGTCTGTGTCCACAGAAAGACAAATGGATAAAGATGTGGTATATACATACAATGGAATATTACTCAGCATAAAAAAGAATGAAATTTTGCCATTTGCAACAACATGGATGGCCTAGAAGGTATTATGGTAAATAAAATAAGTCAGAAAAGGACAAATACTGTATGATTTCACTTACACATGGAATCTTAAAAACAAAATAAATGAACACACAGAACAGAAACAAACTCATAGACACAGAGAACAAATTGATGGTTGCCAGGTGGGAGGGGGAGGGGGATGAGTGAAAAGGTGAAAGGGATTAAGATGCACAAATTGCACAGGAAATATATCAATAATATTATAGCCTAGCCAGTGTGGCTCAGTGGTTGAATGTCAACCTATGCACCAAGAGGTCACCAGTTTAATTCCCAGTCAGGGCACATGCCCAGGTTGTGGGCTCAATCCCCGGCGGGGGCATCCAGGAGGCAGCAGATCAATGTTGATGGTTCTCTCTCATCAGTGTTTCTATCTGTCTCTCCCTCTCCCTTCTTCTCTCTCTAAAATCAATAAAAACATATTTTAAAAAATAATAAGATAACTATGTATGGTGCTAGATGGGGACTAGGCTTATTGAGGTGATCACTTTTTAAGGTATATAAATGTCTAATCACTATGTTATACACCTGAAACTAATATAATATTATATGTCAACTATAATTGAAAATTTTTTAAAACTTTAAAAAAAAGAAAATCCTCAAAATAATTATGCTTCATTTTTATACAATAAAAATAGCTATCTGAATTAAGTTGCAAAACAGAACAAAAAATAAAACACATAAAAACCTTAGCCGAGCCATGGAGAAATATATTATTTCCTTACTCGAAGTAGCTGAGTGATGCTAGGAGGCTCCTCCTCTTCATCCTGTGCTGTTTCTTTCTCCATATCCTTGTTGGAAACCCCACATTTCAGAGGCTCTTTGAGGACATCATCCATTCGATAAAAGATGTGCTCAAAGTGAGAGCTGTTTTGCAGGGGTTCAATCCCATAACTCACATTCTCTATATGCAGCAGTCCTCTAAGTGTTGCATTACACATACACAATTTTTAAGAATGAAGAAAAACACACAAGAAAATAAATCAGAAAACCTGAATTCAAGTCCTACTTCTTAACATATGTAAGAAAGAGTAACATGGTATAGAGAAAAACATAGGGCCTTATAGAGTCAAGCAGACCTAAATTTAAAGCTCAAGACTTCTACTTACTAGCATCACTTCCCAAAGTTACTTAACCTCTCTGAGTGATTACCGCACAGTGGAAGGCAACGAAGGACAGTGGCTAAAAGTGTAGAGTCTGGGGCCAGAGAACCAGAGTTTGAATCCCAAATGTTTCCTACTAGCTGTGGGATGCACAGCAAGTTATTTAACCTCTGCCTTACTTTACATTCTGCATAGGGCTGTCCTGAAAACTAAATTATTTAATAAGAGCCAAATACTTAGAACATTGCCTGGCACACAGTAACTGTTCCATAAGTGTTATTACTTAAATGGCAATAATTGTAGCCATCTTATAGAGTTGGTTTGAGAAATAAAACTAATATTTATTAGTTCAGTCAATCATGCAACCAACCCACCAGCAGTGTCATACTGCCAGGCCCTCAATAAACATAATTTTAATGTTATTATCATTTCACTTGATATGTGCTACAATTTCTCCAAACCTAGGTTTGCTCACCTAAATGTGGAGATAATGAGCCCGTTTTCACAGTCATTATCAGACTTAAACAAAAGAATGTAAGTGAAAATTTTATAAAGTGCTACAGAAATTTTAACTATATTTTATTTTAAATAGCAAAAGTGATTTAGTAGCCTTAGAATGAGATTTTTCTCTTTAAATGTGAAAATTATCAACTGTAATATTTTCCTAAATAAGCATGCCAGGAATGATATCAGAAACATAGCTCTAAAGATCTTCAGCAACATCGAAGTAAAATCTACTTTTGCTAAGTCCCCCAAAATGACTTGATTTGAAAACAGAGGTAGGTAAGGGGGTAAGAAATAGAGGGAAAAGTGAACTAATAAAGAAAATTCATTACCTGAGTCCAAAACAGTCACTAAGAGCAACAGATGATTTATAAAGTCCCTCCACATAGCCCCGATAATGGCAATGATCCTAAATGATAAAAACTATGTTATCTTCAAATACTGTTACATTGCTGAAAAGCATCAAAGAAATTACAGAGCTAACAAGATTATTTAAGGTGAATAAACTAAAAATTTTATTTATATTATTGGCATCTCATAATATCACATGGCATTCTTTAGGCTATTTCAGATTACCTACTACCACCCTACAAGTACACAAATGTTTAGGTGGAATTTTAAAGAATACTAAATACAAACAGCTCTACCCCAATAACCCTTAAGCCTAGAAGCAGAAAAGGACAGCATTATGTCACATACAACATTTTAACATTTTAAATCACAGTCAATCCAAGAAGCAATAGCAGCCAATTGACATCTAACACAGAAAAGGACCTTGTGACAGGCTAATTATGTCAAGTGGGGGGGAAACTTAGTATGTAGCAAAAGAGGTGATTTTGGTCAAATTACTTTCTTTTCTTCCTACAGATATGTTGATTGTATTACTATTAGTTATACATTNGGAAACTTAGTATGTAGCAAAAGAGGTGATTTTGGTCAAATTCTTTTCTTCCTACAGATATGTTGATTGTATTACTATTAGTTATACATTCAGCCATCTTTAAAAACTAAAGAGTCTTTATCCTTAATTTTGAGCAAGAACTTGACCAGTGGAAATAAAAGCATAATATCACTTACTAATATTAGATTTTTTAGTACACATAAGATCTTCTCATCTTTAAAACAATTATAAAGCATTAATTAAAAAAAATAAAAAGCCAAGGGTGTGGGGCGAGGGGGAACCAGCCCTATCACACTGAGACACGGACATATCACAAGGCCGTAATAATTAAAACAGCATGCTACTGGTGGTGCATTAATTGAGAGACCAACCAGTGGAAACTGAGAGACCAACCAGTGGAACAGAATACAGTCTCAAAATAGTCCAAAGTACATGCAGAACTTTTATGGTAAAAGTGGCGTCTCAAATAACTGTGGCAAAGATGTACTTTCAATAAATGGTGCTCAGTCCACTGGTTAGACATTTAAAAAAGGATAAGATTAAATCCATACCTCACACCATACATAAGAATAAACTCCAAATAGATCAAGGACATAAGCATAAAAAATGAAACCATACAAGAACTGAAAGAGAATATGGGCGAATTCCTCTTTAACGTGGGTGTAGAGAAAGGGTTTCTAATTATCACTCAAAAACTATATTCAATAAAAGACTGATCATTTTTGCTATATAAAAAAAGGCTTTTGCCCTAGGTGGTTTTGCTCAGTGGTTAGAGCGTAGGCCAGGGGACTGAAGGGCCCCACATTCAATTCCAGTCAAAGTCACATACCTCAGTTGCAGGCTCGATCCCTGGCCCGGTTGGGGCAGGTGCAGAGGCAGTCAATCAGTGTGTCTCTCTCACACTGATGTTTCTCTCTCTCTCTCTCTCTCTCTGTCTTCCCCTCCC